GATGCTGGACGTCAAGCTTTAATAAGAAGGAAGAAGCCAGGGAAGCATCATCCTGAAAACAAGGAGCGGAAGACAGACTAGGGGGGGAAACCACAGAGATCTCATGGAAAGCAACGGTCCGTTTTATATGTATAGGATTGGACAAAAGCAGGCAAGGAGGGAGAGCAGGAGGGAAGGACGGAGGGTGTGCGCCCCACGGAGTTCCCTCGGGCGCCTCTTCCTCGAGGGACCAAAGAAGCCTCTGGCATCGGATTTCTCTGCCCAGGACTCGAAGGTTGGTGGAAGAGGACTGGGTGAGATCAGGATGACCCTGAAGGCAGATCCGGGTTCAAAAGCCGAAGGAAGGAAGAACGGAGAGCAGCGAAGGGACCAGGAGACCATGTCAGAGCGAAGAGGAGACGGAGGCAGCCGTGGGTCTCACGAAAGGGGGTTCACACTCCTTGGCGTGGCTGTGGTCAGAGAGGCTAGGAGTAGCGGCCTCGGAGGGACCATCGGCTGACCATGATGATGGAGGCCCCTCCAATGGACATCGGCAAATTTTGAGAAAAAATTGGGCCTGGAATTTCCAGAATTGGAGATGATGGATATATAACAATTACATCAGGGGGGGAAATGCCACCAAGTCTACCCGACATCGTGGAGCAGGTCCTGAGGGGAAAAAAGCGAGAGAGCCAAGATTAAGGACTCCGGGGGAGCGAAGGGGAACCCGCATCCCCACCCCTGAGGTTCCCCTCCAGCCTCCGGATCGCCTCCGCGAGAAACAGGGATGGGAAAGGGATTCGTGGACTTCTTATCTCCGTCCCCCCAGGAGAAACTCCCATTCCCGTCGCCTTTGCCTGGCGGTGGAACCGAGGAAGCCCTTTCCCTCCTGGGAATAAACAGCCTGTTTAAACCTTCAGACTCTTCTGAATCGCAAACAAGAGGTAATCCACTTTATTTCCGGGAATCTTCGTTCAGAATGTTCCTTCTTTCAAATGAAATACCTTTCCTTTCTGTTGACGTAAATCAATCTGGCAGACTTTCCACATTTGAAAACTGTAATCCAGAATCTCCTACCACCTCTGTATCATTGCAAAATTTCTCGTTATGGGTTTCACCCAAGAATCTGATGATGAGGATGAGCCTGGAAATGTTTTAATTCAGGAACTGCCTTAGTGAAAGATTAATCTGTAGCCTTTGTGAGGCTGAACGTCTGCAGGCAAATTGGGTTGGAGGTCATGGGTTTGGGCAGGTTCCTCACCTCCACCCCATAGCACAGGCTACCTACTAGAGAAGTCCTGGGAGTCTTTTGGGTTGGGGGCTCAGGGACTGGGGCAGAAAGTGGGGGTCTCACCTGGACGTTTCAGGTGAGCATCTGCCCTGGATGGATCACAAGAAGCCTAGGCGGTGAGGAAGGAATATTTAAATGTCCATAAAGGCTTGCTAATTGGGAACCAAACACAACTCTCGCCTATCTGCAGCGTGACAAGTATCTCTTGCGAGGCCAAAGGAACGCCATACCAGGCTTCCAGGTAGGGACTCAAGAGGCCAGAGACCAGCAGAGGCGACCTGAACTCAGCACCACCAACATGGCTAG